TGCTGTGAGCTGTAATGCCACGGCACTCTGCCCAGGGGGACAGCTTCAGGCTCTGTCTCAAAAAAAAATAAATAAATAAAAAATAATAATAATAATAAGATTAGAACATTTAAACTTGGGAGAGTATAGCTTCTGTAGAGGCCAAAGGTACCAAAAATTATAACATACCTTTATATGTTTATTTGTTTAAATCTAAAATTATGTTACACATATCAATATTCCTTCACACTTTTTTTCCTTATTAAAATAACTAAAATTGTCTTTTAAGAGACTGGTACTTCCTCCTGATGTTCGGTATTTCTGGGACTAAATTAATATTATGCCTTCTTTTCTTCAGTCTTTACTCTTCCTAACTGGGTTCTAACAATGCTCTAAATCAGTATTTTCCCAATTGTAGATCATGACCAGTAATAAGCTCTGAAATCACTGTTTTAAGTAAAATAGAAAATATCAACATAAATGACCCACAGTAAGGAAATTACTGGTCCACAGACCTTTGTTTCTAGTACTCTGTTAGAGCTGGCTCACACTAGCTTTCAAGACCTGATCACATGCGCCTTCCCGACTCTATGTCCTGCAACATCACACTGATAGATTATAGATTAAAACTGGCAACAGTGATTTGTTCTGTAAAGTTTGGATTTAGTCAGGGGACTTCACTCAGGGATCCAAAAGGCTACATGCGGGTGGCACAGGTTCCCTACTCCATAAAAATCAGCAATGTTGTATCAGGGACTTCTTTCCTCAGAGAGCCAATTTATTGGAACACCATTGTTTCTGATAAGTAAATATATATATACATGTGTGTAAAGTATATGTACTAAATCTCAACATAAAATGTACTTCTTGGTGGCACACTCCTATAGTCCCAGCTACTCAGGAGGCTGAAGTGGGAGGAATACCTGAGCCCAGGAGTTCAAGTCCAACTTAGGCAACACAGTAAGAGCCTATCCCTTAAAAAATAAAAAATTGTATTTCTTACTATGATATAAAATTAAAATGTTTAAAGCTTCTCCCTCAACAAGCCTCTTTCCAATTTTCTTAACCCAACTAACCTCTGTCTTATTTTATGCCAGTATTTATCTTTTGTTATTGATTTGATTATCAAAGGGTATTTAGAACTTAATATTTTCAGAGCAGGCATACCTGATAATATCTAAGAACTTACAAAATTATTTTTCTTTTTTTTTTTGAGACGGAGCCTCAAGCTATCCCCCTGGGTAGAGTGCCATGGCATCACACTCACAGCAACCTCCAACTCCTGGGCTCAAGC